CAATATTTCAAAACAATCTTCTAAGACATCCTCCACACTCTATCTACTGCCTTCATCTGTAGTCATTACATCATAGTGCACTGGATTAGGAGAACAGGGAAGGAGAACAGTTAAGCAGATTTTATTACGCTGAGTGAGTACCTTCTTGACAAATAGATTTTCAGGATGGTCTCATTTTTTACACATACATAGTCTATCGATCCTAATCATTAAAAAAAAACAACCAACAACCAAGACTGATAAGATGAGCTTCTAGTCTACAAGAAGACCAAAAATGAAAACAAAACATAAGTAAGATGAATCTAGTTATCAGATTTATATCTTTACGCTGCACGTGACTCCATATTTTCTAATCACAGTTCCTGGCAGTTTTCTTGGGTACATCAAAAACAGAAGACATCTTAGTCATCCTTTTGCAGCAGGCACAAACATTCTTTGTGGAAAAATAATCAAAGGTGTATTTACATCCCTCATTTCACCCCAAAAAACTTCTTTCTTTGTAGGTCTAACAGTCATACACTTCAGGACTTCAGATTTGCCATTTTGTACAGCATGTGAGACGTTTGGAGCCAAACACGGTAAATACCTTTTACTTTCAGAGAATATGCTACAGTCTTGGGCTTAAGAATTCTAAAACTGAAACAAAAACAAATGCTTTTCTCTCCCCAAACAAGCCCAGCTCATCATGGCAATGAAATTCGATGGTAGAAACACAATAAACAATTTATTGTACAAATGAGGCTTTTAGTTGTCTCTACAAATGATCTGCATATCACAAAATCCATGACAATATGGGGAAAAGGAAATTGCATAGAAAAAATGAAGCAACTACTCACAAGCAATACAACCATAAATAAAGTAAGTATGGGAACAATGTAAGGCTATACACAGTTGATTGACAAGAGCATGATGAATAAGACTGCATTTCTAAAAGGCTTTATTCAGATTTTACTACCCCATTTACAAAGATATCAGAAGAGTTCAGAATATTTCAAAATTTGTATTCTGTATTATGTGTGAGATGCACAATTGTCTATTTCTTTTGTCATTCACTTGATTTTGCAGAACAGTACCATAATCAATCCTGGTCCCAATCAGTAATCTTAATAGTAAATCACAATTAATAAAATGGGTATGTATGTGCATTCAAACCAATATTTCTTTGTAACAAATATCCCGAAACATCTTTTAATAATCAAGTACGGAAAGTAATGTTATACTTCATTATTCTTCATCATACAATGCAATTGAAGAGTTGTACTAAAGCTCATTAAGAGAAACTTTAGGGGAAAACACCGTAAGTAGTATCTAAGCTAAGTAATTATGAAAAGTGATTGAAACATGAATAGTTTGTCCACTTATTATTTCACATATTGCTCTCAAGGTTCATAAAGAAATGTTTTGGCATGAGCAACAAACAGAGAGACATCCTGAACACATCTGTTAATCTCATCCAAGATTAACGCGTGAGGTGGTTCCACTTGACACTTCCTTAATCCAAATTTACCCACTTTGGAACTTAGTTAGCCAGTAATACTTTGAATTTCTTCAAACTGAAATGGATAAAAATCTATTTTCACATCAGATTCCAGGGACTTCATACACTTATCCTTCAAATAGATAGAATCTGGTGCAAACTGGATAAGGATCTTAAATGTAGTCGTACAAAAAGCCTTACTAATACAGTTTCAAAATGGGTAATAACGCATTGGTGGGACTTGCTAGATTGCTGATAAATGTCTTCATTTACGATGGGAGGTTTAGAATTTGACAGGTTCAAATGAAGGTAGTTCTTCGGAGAACAAGAGAATCTGAGTTCTAGCTTACTGACACATATGGATTTAAAAAAATAATATTTAGCTACTGAGCAGTTCTGAAAAATATCTCTTTTTCACCTTTTCTCCTCTTGCAACAATACTTTGCAATCTTTAACTACTGAGGGGAAAAATCTGGTTGTTGTGAACATATGTTCTTATGTGTTTTCCTTCACTACAAATACAAAGGGATTTAAGTTTTTTCTTATATCCATTTGCCCTCTTACTTCTGGCTTTCAGATCCATCAAAACCTTGAGAAACCTTGCTAGTTGTTTAATATTCTCTATTAACCAGACAGCTTAGAGTTTTATTCATTGCTCTTGTTCCTTTCCAAAAAGTTTAAAAAAGGAAAGATTAATTATGATTTCAACAATCTTTGAGCTGTTTATAGAGATATCAGTTTATTTGGTGCAGTCTATTGACAGGTATATGTACTTTACCAGAGAACACTTTAGAACTTTGTTGAAACAGGATACTTAATTAAACATATAAATCTTGGGCTGGGGGAACCTTTGATGGTCATCAGTTTGGCATCTCCTTCACTGTGTAAATGTGTTAAAATAAATCAAAGTACATTGAAAAATTCCGTTCCAAATCTTAGCAAGACATACATAAAATGACTTCTGAGAATAACTCTACTCTTTAACTATGAAGTTTAACAGGGTACTCTGCAGTTATAAGTACAGAACCAAGAATATAACAGATGTAGTCTGGTGTAAAGCGGTCTCTATACTGCTTTCACATCAACTTGTAGGCTACTGTAGTTTGTGAAAGGTACACGGGACCCACAGAACCCGAGTAGCTCAATATTAATGATTACTTGAATTTCCATTTCTGTCTTCAGAATCAAAAGTTCACATTTTGCAGCGAGTTAAAAAAGCCTTTCATGTTTGTTCTGAGTCACTGAAAAAATACTGCATAAACCTCAATGGCAAGTATGTTACACAAGAGAGCAAAGCTACTCACAAATTCCTTTAATAATCATCATATCAAAGAGTAATTTTACGAATCAGCTGCCAAAGCCGAACCGGATACTTTCTGATTGTAAACTATGATGAGCACAGCTGTAATGCAATATGAAGGCATTTGACATTTAATTTTTCTAACAATCGTTCTTTATTGTAGCCTTGTGTTGTAATTTTCGTCCAGTCAGAAAAATATTTCCCAGGACAGTCTAGCATAGCTTGCAAAAATGAAATCTAGGAGATAACTAGCACATGCATTGATATAAATAAGATAACAGACACATCGCCAAGCTGTTCTATTCCAGTATACACCTTGAGCAGACTAGATGTTTGGATATTCTGACTCGGGATAAAAAAACAACAACCCAACAACTAAAGAGTGCACTAGTCACTGAGGAACAGTTTTCAAACTAGAGACACGAGAGAATTTGAAATATTTTCAGGAAGTACCAATATTAGGCCCTATAACCTAACATATAAAGACAAAAATAGCAAACATAATTATTATTCTCTGCCCAAATGAACTAATTTCCATCAAAGTTCTGAGATTATCTGAAAAAACCAAAAAAAACAAGAGGAGAAAAGATCTGAAGACCAAGAAATTAAATTGTGGAAGCCTATCATATGAACATTGCTGTCAGTTCATATTACGCAACAATTATACCATTGTGTCCTTAAATTTGTCCTCAAATCTTTTTACTGCTCTCTTGTGCAAGTTATGGACTCGGTTCTATTTTCCAAAAATAACCATCAGACCCCAAGGAATAGTAAATTTTGTTTTTACTACAAACACTTTCTGGTGTACATGACGTATAATATAACAACAAAATTAAAAGAAAAAACCCTTTGGGGAAAGCAATTTAAACTCGTCGGGAAAGCTTAGATTTAAGCAAAGACCAAATGAAATAACGTAGGCCTCCTATCATGTAAAAACGTTTTTTCAAAATGGGTAGATTCCCCAATCAACCTAACCTTATATATATAGAGAGAGAGAGAGAAAGAAAGAGGTCCCAGAAAGACCGATAGAGAGTAAAAAGATAACCTTAAATTTTTTAAAAGCATTCAATGAGGTTTTCTGAGTTTTGGGTACCACAGTTTAAACTCTATTCACATTGCGGCAGCTGGTTATAGGGGACACTCTTGCACTGTAAATGCCAAGCTTTCAAATATTTCAATTTTGATGGCTATAACTAATATAATGCAAGGATTGTTTTCAATGAGTGCATGTTTACTGCATTTACATACATTTTTCAGTTCATAGCAGCAAAGGCACATAGTCAATGCCCGAAGAGACTTGAAATTTAGCAACAAAGTACAGGTTATCCTTCTTACTCTGAGGGTGGTTGGAGGGCGCCACTGTTAAGTCATACTTCTTTACTTTCCCTCTACTGTTTCTGTCTGTCAGTCTTTCTTTTTCTCAGCACTAAACGAACATTATATCATTGTGTCGATGTGCTTCTCTTTATTCAAAAACAACAACAACAATAACAACAATACCTTACTCCCCAACTTGCTTAACACACATAGGCTTGGGTACAGCAGAATGTGAAACGACAGCTCGCCACTGTTAAGGAAGGAGGGTCATTACATGTCAACCTCTGAGTCAGAGATGACATCTCCAGGTATTCCTTGCCTTTCTCACCCTGCTCCAGGGTATAGGCCACAGACAAACACTTTCCACCTTTCTCTATCCTGGGCTAGCCTCTTGATGTTATTCCATGTTTTCCCACTTTTCTGTAACGTACATGTACATCAATTTCTGTGATTCTTCTCCAGGTTCAACGTCCACCTTATTGTGGCACGGTGATAAAGTCCAGGCTAACCCATTACAAACAGGGCACTGGAAAGCTATTCAGCTGTTCTGAGCCCAGAAAATAAAATTTTTCAGGAGGGAAAAAAAGTTTCATTCATTTAAAAAATGTACCTAAATTATGTATCTTCCTTTGCTTTTTCAAACTTTCAGAAGATGGGGGGTGGGGGGGGGGGGGGGGGGGAAGGGGAGAGCAGAGATGGACATGTTCCGACTGCAGTGACCCCAACACAGTGGACAAGTAAGACAAGTAAGTAAGACTTTTAGAATTTGAATTTTGACTAAGTATTCCTTATCAAGAAGCTGAAACATTTTAGGCTTAGTACATTTACACAGCTGATCGACTTTAACAGCCTGTGTACAGACAGAAAGGTCCTTACTTATACTGATGGTTTCCAGAGCTGAGTTTCTTTGCTTATTTGCACTTTTTCATGAGGACAATACAATCTTTTGTTTCCCTTTTACTGTTTTACCTCTTTTTTCAATTCTTTCATTAATTTTCAAGCCAACTCAAGAAAGTATAAACCAAGACTTTGATGTTTTGACGTCAAAGTAGAATAAACTTTTATTAATGTTCACTGAGAAGAAAAGCACTAAGGCTGCTGAAAGTAGACCTCTTGCTATCTGTCTCTTGGTAGAAGCCCAAATTGCAAGAGTTAAAAGGTCACCATCGCCCCCAAGACTGTTTACCAACATTTACGCTAAAACAAGGTTTCACCTGACAAATAGTATCTTGAAGACTAAATTTGTCTTTATAAAATTGAACATGACTTACATCTACAAAGTTGCACTTTATGCTCTGAGATAAAAGTGGCTGACAAAAGCTCTTTTGTCATTCTGGCTTTCACTCTCTCCTGTAACTTGTTTCTAGAAACCACTCAGTAAAAATTCAGAATTTATTATGTAATACAGAAACATGATGACTACCCTACAATACAAACCTCCACATTTTTCACTCCCCCAGACAAATATCATGTCCTGTCTCACTCAACCTGCTTTTGATGAACAACTGACTCCTCAAAAGGTCAAAAGTATATCAAGTCTCTTGCATAACATTGTAGATGCCTCTGAATTTTAATCAATAAGTATTCACAGATTATAAGTAGATTGTACAAGTTCTTGCAATTCCACACAATTGACTAGTTCTTCAGATGACTATGCAATTTTAGAAGATAAGCTCACTCACTTGCCAAGGGGCAAAATTGAAATCGTCTTCATACATTATGAATCTATGGATTACTGCCCTCAAACAAAATCAGGGTCTCTGACTGGAAAGGAAAGATACAGTATGGTCAAAATAAAAAGCAAACAGCTGTTACACAAAATGGTCCTTTTTTCCCTTTTTGGTCGAACAAATGAGCAAACACACTGACACACGTGAAAATTGTAAGTATTATGCAAGTGGACAGTTATTCTGCCCATTATCACAGTTTTGAAATAAGAAGGATGAAACAGCAAGGGGAGGTGACAGACTGGTTCTATGTTACACTGTGGTATGTACAGATCAAGTCAGTGAAGAGTAAAGAAGTGCCACTGAAATCATAGAATCATATTATACAGGCAGTTAAAATGACCAGCATTTTAACATACACTGATAAGTTACACATGAAAGTTTTATCACTGAGCCAATCTTGAAAGGTAAGAATTATTCATTGAGTACATTGTAGTGCAAGGGGGGTAGAGTGGAGAAGAAAGGATTTAAATGGTTCAGAAGTGGTATAATAATACAAATGTTCGGATTACGGTATTCTATCCCATATCGCAAAGAAAACAAACTAAAACATACGAAATTCAGGCATCAAAACCTACTTCTAGTGTTTTGATTCCCGCACAAAGCTCAAATATTTAAAGAAAAGTCTCTTCCCATTTGTTGGTGCTGTATCAAGCCAGACAACGACATGGAACAAGCCTCCCTGAAGTGTTGAAAATATCGATCGCTATTTTCAAAACTATCAGCAACTGAAACTGAATATCTCATCCCGATGGTAGATAGAGATTTAAAAAAAATCCCATTCCCTCAAGAATGTTAAAGCCAGTCATGAATGCTCAAGCCATGGCATTAAAAGAATTTGAGTAAAATATATATGATAATAATCAAGACTCGCCTACACACTTTGTTAATTCTCTTTTTAGCACATAGTGAAATTAAGCTTTCCTAGCGCAGTAGGTAGCCTTCAGTCTCATAATAACTCTAGTGAAAACTCTTTGAACTAACAGACTCTCCATTTAAGGAAGAGTAATAAAAAATCAAACTAAAGCAATCACCCGTATTGAAAGTCCAAATTATTTGAAACCATTGGCTGCAAAAACACCAACAGTAGAATATGAAATACCATTCCAAGCCAAAATATTTTTCAAGTTAAATCACGGCCAAGCTCATGACTGCGTCAAAGTGGTGTGTTTCAGGCAGAACAATATTATTACAAGGAAAAAGGATCAAGCCTGTAACAGGAGGTGTGGAAGCCTTTGGGTCATAGAGCAGGGGCAGAAAAACTGCAGCTGCTCGTATCCAGAATGTGAACACACACAATGGTAACACAACACCGTTAATTTCAACCAGCCACAATCTCTCTTGAGTCTGTTTATAATATCAGGAATGCTTTATTAAAGATACATAATTTACTTTCAGGAAACCTTCAAATGAACTCGTGTCCTTTCACACAGTGAGCTCCAAACATTAAGGCCATTTCAGCATTTTTCTAAAGAGCCCAAAGTCCCAGCGTGCAGCGCAAACATGACAGAACAGGCTTTGGTTCATCATCTGTCACGTTGGAGAAAATGAGTAAGTCTGTGTGAAGCTGGTGTTTTCCTGTACATTGGTCTCTCCAAGAGGTTTGAGGCTCAGGTTGACAACTGCTGGATCGTGACTGGAGAAGCATTCAATGTCCTGAAAGAACAGAGGAGGAACATGGTGAGAACAGCAATACCTTTGCACTGCAATAATAGCAGAGAAATAAAGTAAATGGTGAAAACAATGATATGTTTACAGCACAAAAGCAGAGAAAGAAAACAATGAAAACAATTATGTTTACACCACAATAGCTATGGTCTATTAATCAACTAAATGAAAATGCCACAATAAATCAAAGGAGTTTTTATTCTCTATTGATGTTATCTTAAAAAAAAAATCAATGCTCAAAATGAAACCTTCAGAGCTAGCTAAACAGACCCATGGTTGTGGGTGGTTGGCAGGTGCTCTGGTGTGGTTTGCTCTTTCTTTCCTATAACAAATCTATCGTCTCTATCTCCCCTCCTTTTTTGTGTTTGTTTCTCTCTTGAAACACCTCTAATCTTCGGCACTTATATAGTTTGAATGTGAACTTTAGGCCAATTTTTACCTCAAATTCAATAAGGTCTAAAAAACAAAGAATTTTAGGAAGATTTGACTGCTTTGACCACAATTTGTTTTCTTCCGCTTACAGTAAAACAAGGGTTATATCTTGAATGATAGGTTTGAATGTGAACTAACAATAAATGTTACAAGAGAAGCTCAGAAGACACAAATAAAGCCCAAAACATTTGTGAAGTGTCCGGAGGGCATCTAGTGTAGGCATCACACGAAGATGTAAACTTACATCAAGATAAATCCCGAACAACGTTTTGAACTTTTCATCATTGACATCATCATCATCTTCTTCTTCTTCTTCTTCTTCTTCTTCTTCTTCTTCTTCTTCTTCTTCTTCTTTTTCTTCTTCTTCCCTTGCAACATCTCAGGGTTTTTCTACCTGCAGTGCAACTGATCTCTTCGTACGTGACCGTTTTTTAATATTTCCTAAGGCCCTTTGCCTTTAAAAAGCCACATTCCGGTTTTGAAGGTACCCAATATTTTTTTAACTAACTATCGTATTCTCAGTTTTTGGTTGGAATTAATTTTGAATTTTTCTCGGGTGGCGGTGGAAGCCTACTCGAATCAATTTTAGGACTACCAAGGGATCTTAAATGTGCGCAACTTGAACACAAGATCTCCGAGATTTGCTTTATCTGAGACAGTTGGGTGTTATATCTTACCTACCCTAAGAGCAAGTGGTGTGATTGATAGACAGCAGTAAGAATGAGCAAGGAGAGGCAGCAGAAAGAGTCAACGAGTGTAATGGAGAGAGGAGCTAAGAGGAGACCACGGGTGGTTATGAAAGTGGAGCTAAAATATCATGAAAGCAGACGACAGAACAGGACAAGAGAATAGAAAAACAGAAATTTTTAGAGCAGAGACATTTTTCACCACTGTTAGGTTTAGATCTATGGACCTTTTGAATGAGAGGCAAACACCATAAACCATAAGAGTCCTTATCATCATCAGCTATTTCCAAACAATTTTCCTGTTTCATTTTTTTTTTTGAAGACCTGCAATTACTACTATTTGACATATTTTCTTTGGAACTTAAAAATATCCGACATCAAATCAGGACACTGGACAAAAGAAAGACAAAGGGAAAGAATAAAAAGGTAGCCTATGATGGTGAAAAAAGAGTGAAGGAATACTACTACCTCCTCTTCCGAAACTTCTCCTCGTCCGCAGTCTCTGCATGAGCCCCAACCCAGAAGGCAGGAGGATTTAATCTTTGGGGAGTCAGAGGCTAATGTAAAGTCAAACACCCGTCCAGCTACAGGAGATGGGGAGCAGTGAGGCTTGGGCGAGGACTGGAGCTCAATCAGCTCTGAGGAGTACACATTTCTTCTGTTTGTATTACTTACATGTAAGAGACGTTAAATCACCCTTCTTCTTCTTCTTATTATTATTATCATTTTACAGGGCTCCCCAAAAAGTACCCTGGTGATTTTTAGTAAGATAAATGATATCCCTACAAGAAAATAAAGTTATTTCTCTGGGGTGAATGAAACTACACAGTGGAAACTTACCTCAAACAAAGAAAAAAGTTCCATTGTGGATGATGAAAAGTTTACGAAGAAGAATCAGGGGGAAACGATATAAAAAAAGACTGAGAAGCACTGATGTTTCATAATATACGGTCTGGCATGCACATAATGAAATCTGTCGGACATGAAAATGTTTTTTGTTACGTGCAAATTTTGCTATGAATATATTTTAAACACAAAGAATATACATGAAACATACGAAGAAATTTGGGACCTGGATATTGGTTCGCTATGTTCCTGTTCACTATATGCATGCTAGACTACTGCGCTAACCAAAATCCCTCAGAGAAAGATTTGACTTGTAAGGCAGTAACAAGCACCTTGGGATTTTTAATCAAGTTTCTTTTTTTTGGGGGGATATAAAAAACTGGGGCAAAAACAAGGGATGTGCGAGTACTCAAGTAAATACTCACTCAAGTCATTTTTAAATACTAAGTCACTTGAGTTCAAAACTTTCAAATACCGGTACCTGGGTAATTACTCCAGTAGTTTTTCACCCCTTGGGACTTTTGTTTTTATGAGATACCGGTACAAAGGATTTTGCACTTTTCATCCTTTATTCCTTTCTATTTGTTGCTGCAATGTATTTTTTCATCCTTTCTGTTCGTTGCTGCAAAGTATTTTTCCATCCTTTCTGTTCGTTGCTGCAATGTATTTTTTCATCCTTTCTGTTCGTTGCTGCAATGTATTTTTTCATCCTTTCTGTTCGTTGCTGCAATGTATTTTTTCATCCTTTCTGTTCGTTGCTGCAATGTATTTTTTCATCCTTTCTGTTCGTTGCTGCAATGTATTTTTTCATCCTTTCTGTTCGTTGCTGCAATGTATTTTTTGGTCATTTTTGCCTTTTTCTTTGTGTACTATTCAGACTGTCTTCTTAGTAATTATTGTGTTGCCATGTGGCGGAATCTGGCAAACGTCAATTTTTATAGGCATATGGAATTACTGATATCATCTTACAGCTTATTCATTTTTCTTGCTTTCAATGAAAAAAAGCCCATCTATTCTGAATTGAAGTAGGGGTCGCATGGTGTCAGAGGAAAAATTAGTGAGATTTTGGCTACTAAAGTTTGGTGACTTCCAAAGCATGAGAGTCCATGGAAAATTTAAATTTACATTCCCCCCAACTTTGATCATGTTTTCTTTCAATAAGGTCCACTTAATTGTGTTTTTAGAAGGATATAAACAGTGTTGAACCCCCGCCCAAAAACAAAAAAACAAAAAAACAAAAAAAAATTGAAGAAAATTGCCCGAAAGGTGGCTAAATGCCTTTAACTTTATAATTTTGATAAGAGATTTCACCATGATATCACACAAATTATTTTTGTTTGTTGTTTTTGCCATTACTAAAATATGTTTTTTTTCCTATTTTGTAGTATAGTTATTTTTAATTGCATTATGAGTAGCACAATTAGCAGTTTAACAAGGCTCTAAAGACAACAATTAATCTAAATAATAATAAACAAAGCCTAGTTTTCCAAAGTAGCGTACTAATGAATTGTTACATGTGAAAAAGTATGCAGTTGATTTATTAACTAAAATTTATCCAGCTCTGCACTCCTCTGCCTGTTCCCAAACAAAAGAAGTAGCAAACACACACACACACACACACACACAGACACACACAGAGACAGACACACACACAGACACACACAGACACATACACACAGACACACAGACACACAGACACACACACACACATACACACACACACACAGGCAGGCAAAGTGCATGCATACATACAAAATACTAACCCAGTGAACTTATATATCATTTGAGGCTGAAGATGTAGACTGTTGCCTGAAAATGTCTACATTTTGAAGTTGCACATTGCAACAAAAAAAAAAGGGGGGGGGGGTGAGACATAATTATATTATACCTTTACCATAAAAAGACAGAAAGGGTTGGTAGTGGGTAACGAGGGAAAAATAGATAAATGAAAGACCTTATATTCCCATCTTTCTCGTTGCCTCTCTCCCTCCCTCTGTCATTCTTCTCTTCTCTTCTCTCTCTCTCTCTCTCTCTCTCTCTCTCTCTCTCTCTTTCTCTCTCTCTCTCTCTCTCTCTCTCTCTCTCTCTCTCTCTCTCTCTCTCTCACACACACACACACACACACACACAAACACACACACACTCACAAACACAAACAATTACACATAAATGGACAGAATTTATGATGACTTGAAGAATACTTTTGTTTTCAACATAACTTGTGGAGATTCGTTTCCATGCACTTTCCTTTTCTCACCTGCTGTGATCATATCTTAAATCTCGTATTGGTGGATTCTTCCCCCTTTTTTTGTACCAATTAATTATTTGCTCCCCTCCCTTTGTTTGTCTGTCTGTTGGTCTCTCTCTCTGCATCTTTTGTGAACCCATATAATACTTTTGCAACACATGGGAGTACATAGTTTTGCAAATACTTGTAGTTATACGGGGAAGGGGGGGAGGGGGAGAATGGAGGAGTGGGGGTAGTAAAAATTAGTTTATGTACATGTGTCAGCAAATAACACGCTGAGCCTGTGTTCGGGATTCCAGTGCATGTACCAAAGAGCTTTGGTACCAACTAAAATATTTCATAATTACTCGGACGAGTTCAAAATACTCGACTCGCACATCCCTTGTGAAAACTTTTTGAATGAATAAAAAAAAAAAAAGAAAGAGAGAGAGAGAGAGAGAGAGAGAGAGAGAGAGAGAGAGAGAGAGAGAGAAAGAGAGAGAGAGAGAGAGAGAGAGACAGAGACAGAGAGAGAGAGAGAGAGAGTGAAGGACAGAAATGAGTTGAACTGAATTTCACTTTTATTCGAAAGGCTTCTTGCCCTTCTTAAAATATGCATCAAGACATCAAATAAACCACACAGGAAACTGGGCCACAAAAAGTTACTCAGATGAAAGATGAGATGATGAAGAGTGCTCTGCTGGTAAAATGTAGGGAAATCTCTAGATGGGAAAATGGTGAAAGAAATAGGAGACATATTATTGTTGAAGCGACCACAAGTTTATGCAATTCTTTAGGTGGGAAAATTGTGAAAGAATAAGGAGATATATTATCGTTGAAAGGATCACAAGTCAAAAGTAAAAGAATGAAATTTGGTTTCTTTACCTTTGTGATCGTTGTGCATCATTTACTTTTACAAAGCACACAACTTGGATCGATAAAATATTGGAAAAAAAATTCATCATGAAAACCCATATAAGTCAAATAAGCAAGTTCCATATAATGCTACAGTAACAGAAGTGTATGTTTTGGCTGTATTTCCGACAGAGGCATTACAAAAATGTTCTCATGTGAACAGTGGTCGAAAGATGTGGATAGGAGAGCTTTTTAGGCTTACTTGAAAAGGGGCAGTTTTTAACCAATGTTTTCAAGAAGAAATGAGGTTTTTGTTTTAATAAATATAAATAGAATAAATTTATTTCTAGAGATATACAAAACTTTTGAATGCATTCTTCAGAACATTAAATTAGAGTTAACAAATGTTATAAATTATTTCCTTCTTTCTCTTCTTAAAGAACAACCCCTCCCCCCTGCATTAATTTGTTACACATAATTTCCAAATCAAAGGCGTACATGAGAATGGATTAATGAAGCGATAGAAAAATCAAATATTATATTTATAGCAGAATTACACTTAACAGTGTGCAGTGACATAGAATTACCCTCGTATTTCTGCAAGTGTTCACTTCTGTCTGCACAATCAGATCATACCTTGAACATCAGGTGTGTAAAAAGACACAAGTTTATTTGATGTTAGCTCCATCAAAATTTGTTATCTTGCATTTTCATTTTGAATACCGAGAAGCAAGTAACTGTTTTTCAAATTGCAAAAAATTGAACTTGACTTAATTTTGCTGTTCCTTATTTTTTACTGATGCTGAATGTGCAGGTTGATAAATGGCAATATTTCTGCTCAAGATTTTCTTTCAAAAGGAATTTTATAGCCATGGCGGATATGCACTGTGTAAGTAGTTATATAGTTTGAAAAAGCATGTCAACTATAACCTTTTTCATTAAACAAGACCTAGAAAGTGCAGTACCGAAGCATTTTTGGGTGACTTTGGCGGGAAGGGAGGATCAGTGCTTGACAATGTACAGACAAAGTATTGCCATGCAATTAGAAAAATAAATAATCTTAAACTAAAAATCTATTTTAATTTGGTAAAACAATGAAAATATCCTTTTTCTTCATCAGTGAAAACTATCTTATTGGACAAAATATAATGTCCAATGAACTGTTGACTTAGTAAAAGTAGAATTCTCTTTTTTTTAAAAATCTAAGAACTGTATGTATTTTAACATCTGATTGCTGATATTTTACAACTCCCACCTCAACACAAATCTAGGACATTTAAGAGAAGGGTTTTCATATTTTTTTTGCTTTTCTGGGCAGACCCAGGTTGTGTGAGATACTATATCTTTGCATAAACACTTTTATCCTACATGCCAAGTCTCCAATTAAAAACACAAACTCACATTGCCTTAGATCAATATTCATAAAAGTGTTAGGATTTATTACAATTCTCTACTTTTTAATGCCTAGGACGCTTTAAAAATGACTTTTCTTTTGACTATGAAATTAAATAGGTGACCCTTATATGTAATCTCGTTTCCCCAACAAAAAGCACACCAGTATGAAGGATGGCGAAGGAAAAAATACAATGTTTATAAATTATGCCCTTCTTCACAACGTCACTGTGTGAATGCTTGGCCAAATTTAAAAAAAAAATACAGTTCAGAGATCAGGATACATTTCATAAGTTTATTAGATGTGCTTTTTCTATGTCAAACAGGAAAAATAAAAAGCATTTGAAGGAAGGGAGTAGCCACAAAAGTATGGGAAGACCTGTAAGATTGCAGGGTGAGTGGTCAGTTACTGGACAACATGAGTGCCACACAATGGGAGGGCAGTGAAAACACCAAGCGGCCTGACTAGGAGGTTTCACATTAAAACAAATGTAAAACAAGGATATGTTCAGTCCCGTTTACTTATCATATTTTAAAGGAATTTCTAAAAACATAACAGAAGCTAGTCCCAGTCCTGTAGACCTACAAAAAAACCCAAACAACTACTGATGGCTGATAATTATAACCAGGGTGTGAAGAACGCAATGTAACAACTGAACTTCAGACCTGTAAACATCATCTGAACACAAGCTGCAAAAAAGATGAGATGAAACAAAGTGTCTGCGTGTCAGTAAGGGAGGCACTGAAAACTCTTGGTATTCCTATTAATGATGTGCCACTGAAGAAAAAATAGAAATTAAATTAAATTATTTAGCTAGCATCCTATCCCGGGGAAGGGAAGCTAGACATGGAAAAAGAAGCAAGAGCACAGAAAGCTGACACAGCGAGTTGCCAACTGGCACCCTTGCAGACATCCTAGCGTACCCATGACAACAAAAGCTAAAATAATTCAGACAATACTCCAACCTACACTAACTTACCAGTGCCAGAAGTTGAGGTTAAGCAGAGGTACAGAGGAAGATGTGTCTTAGAAGAGTGACAAATAAGATTGAAAGAGACAGAATTTGATAGGAAACTATACTTGACACTGTTGGAATTAGACTGTAATAAAACATGTCCACAGACAGAAAAATATTGGGTTCAGAAACCTCTTAAGAATGCCAAGTAAACAAGCACTTTGAAGATGCACCACTTTGTGCTCTGGTACCCATGCCACACCACGTCAGTAATGGATAGAAGGAAAGACTAACATCGTTCAAAAACACATACCCCCCCCTCCCCCCCGGCCATGGATATCATTTTAAACTACTGCTGTCTGAGTCTTTGTGGAACACCCAGCAATACAATCAAATCGATCAAGTAACACAGTGAAAATATTTTTCTATAAGGGTCAAACAAGATGAAGAAGCAACTGCCTGTTTCATTAAAAAGAGTGTCATGTCATTCATTTATGTCACAGATAAATGAGCACACATTTGTTCAATATATCGGGGAAAAGTAACACCCCGAAGACCTAGGGTCACCAGTCTCCTGTAAAAAGATTTCAATACAGTTTTGATTACTTTGGACAAACATCATATCGATAACAAACACAGATCTCTTCCAAGTCCTGAGGAAATGGAGGAGGTATATAAATAATTGAATATATATGCAAAGACAGAAACGCAATATATCAGTTCCTTTACAGCACCACGGTTGTGTTAGAGTGAAAAACTATTTCATGCCAGTGCTAGGAAAAAGAGAATTTTCAGAAATCCCCCTGAAGGAAAAAGTCTCCTTCCCCCTTCAAACACACAAATGTTTTTAAGATTTCTCAACATTTTGAGCAACGGGACAAACAGGAATTTCGACTGTGACTTGATTCTTTTTTTTTTTCTTTCTCGGTTTTTGACAAAGTGGGTTAAGCTATGACCCTATTTACCTGTCATAGTGCTCTCCACAGGGGCTGAGGTGAAGGTAGTGGTATGAATTTTGCAGTTCTCCCCCTCGTGAGGGCCAAGGAGTGGGTCCTCAGCCCCTGTGGAGGCATCAGCCAGTTTGGCCGGTTGCTGCACCAGAACGGACATCCCATTGCGACTCACGGGCTGGGGGTCCGGGGCCAGGAGCTCGTTGTTGTTGTTGTTGCCGGCGGGCTGGTGCTGTATGTGTTGATGCTGCTGCACTTGGTGTACCAGAGGCTGTTGCTGCTGCTGCTGCTGCTGCTGCTGTGGCTGATGTCCCAATGGTAGCTGCTGCTGAGGTTGTGTGGTTGTGGCGATGGGGCTGTGGTATCTCTTCCTCTTCAGAAATTGAGCAAAGCTTTTTTTCCATGCCAAATTTTTGACGAAGGTTTTTTTCTTTCCGCTTTGATCTGGATCTGGGGTGATCTTGTGGCATTTGTTCACAGAATTCTGAAAATATAACATGGAATAATAATTATTATTCTCTTGTTACATATCAGCTGGCTATAATTGTGAAAAATTGAAACGGTCAAATTGATATATTCAATTACCCTTCTGATTCAAGTAGCTAATGTGGCAAACATAAAACGCCTTGATAACTGGGTCAATAATTATAATCTATTATCCAGGAACACAACATTGCACTGTAACAGCTCACCAAAAACGATAATTTCAAGGGAAGCTGTTGAAAAGAGAGTAACGCGATCCATTCACAATCATTAAAACCACTAGCAGTGCTATGACTATTACCCCTATCATCATCATCTTCACTATCACCACTGAAATCTTCATCACTATCACAATAATAGATCACTGTTTTTCAAAGTTATGTACTGTTATAATGGCCTTAAAGATAAAAATGCTCTTCCTGACAACCACTTTTAAAAACATTTCTGAGACGGACATAATTTGTGCAGTATAAGTCTTGCTAGGTCTGAAGGCTTCCTTTCAGGTACAGGTACTACTTTTCAAAATACTGTCTGAGGATACAAGTCCCTTTCATGAGCATCAAATGGCTTTCTTCCAATGAATCTTCTACCATGAATTCTACAATCAATCTAAACCTTGACATTAGGCCTATAACAAATTGAAATCTACACCTAGATGTGAAGGATTTAATGTCTATAAACTATATTGTACTGGTTACACAAATGGTAGAACATTTTATTCATGTCAAGCTCCATTCACAAAGGTTTGCATGAGCATATCTCAATAAAAGGATCAAATGAGACGGACAACACAAATAGAACAAGAAACTGTGGCCTGAAATCAACGAGCAGGTCTTCACAGGCATGCACACTGTTTCCAGACATGACATGAAAATTAAAGAATGAAATGGAATCATGCAATCTGCATTTCCCGTAAAACATGCTATTAGTTCACAATGTTATGAAAAAGTTTTTTCAAAACTTCTAATTGATTTTTTTCCATTTAATGAGGAAAAGTGTGCAGTGCAAGATTATATTATGCTCTCTGGTAAAAAGTAACAAAAGAAAAATATGAAATGAATGTTGTTAGATAGCACTTGAATAAATTTGAATAAATACTGTAAATAAAACTTTGAAGATGTAGCCTACCATAAATCATGCTGTTTAAGTTTAGAATTCATATTTATTAATTTGCTTATATGGCGCATGGAAAGATGGGGAAAAAGAGAGCTTTATCGGCTCATGAAATAAACACAAAGTTAAGACCAATTTCTCTTGAAAACTAAGTCAACAAAAGACATTGAAAACAAAATATGAGGAATGAAATATGACTTTTCATCTTCTATTCTAAATCAGTCATTTTCTGATGATTTGATTGACTGTGCATGTGCTTGGATGTATATCTGTTGGAGTGTTTGCATACTTGTTTGCTTTAGTTTGTGAGGCTTTCCCAGACATTAATTTTGTAGTTCATATTTTGGTAGATGGTAGACTGACAATAAGATTAAGATCCTATTAAAAAAAACACATAGTGCACATTGGAAGCAAAGCCATGAATGGAGTCTTCATTATTACAATTTTCTAACAAGGAGATAAACATTAAAAAGATGTAAAAAGTGTTCCTTTTATTTGATACACATGTAATATGATATTAAAAAAGACAGTGGTTAGTCCTCTTTCACATTCTCCACTCTAAAGCATATGTAAGACAAAAACCTTTGACCATGGTATTTTCCTTTCTTAGTAGCCAATGAGAACAAGTGTATCAAAATGTGTACAAAGGGTGGGTTCAGCCAGAGGGAGGGAAAGTTTTTGCTCACCACCATATTCTAAGGCAATGAAAGAGAAATAAAACGATAGATGAAAAGATATAAAATGAAATGAAAATGAGGGATGAGAAAATGAAAATGCATACCCTTCTCATAGTATTGATATAAAATTTACCTTCCTACATCATCTGAGGCTGATAGGAGTGCAAACAGAAATCTTAAGGTTTTAGCATGTTTGTGCTTTATCTTATTCTGCGACACACTTTGGTCAATTCAGTTTATTTTGAATAGCGGCATATATCTTTTTTAGGATTCAAGAGTCGATGCTCAAGAAAACCAACACAGCGCACAAAATAAACCAGGGGCAGGAAAAATTGTAGTATAGTGACAGGTATTAAGCTATCAAAGGAACATCTCTGCCTGCAATGTGCTTTTTCGTGACACATGAGAGAGTTCAAGTTTCACAAACATCTAAAGAGAAAGAATATTCCAAGTGCAATATTAGCTGTCCGTAATAAATAATCATATTCTTTTCAAAATGTACTTTCTAAACAATGCTTGATTACACCATGCTCTAGAAAGGCTTAAGAGAAATAGAAGATCATGATGGCTAAATTATGTGTACGGTAAATTTCCATGCAGTCACAAATGCATGAACACAAAATAGAACAAGGAAGTGTATTTAAAAAAACCTGCCATATAATTTAATTCCGAGTGAAATCCATTTCCTTCGACTTTAATTATACATATATAAACATACTCCTGAAAATGTGTACCTGAATGTTTCCATATATCAGTCATGTCAAGTCACATTCAAACAAATTAAAGTATGTTTCAGGGAAGTACACATACTTGTATTCCTATGGATTGCTGTAACCTTAGGAATAAAATTCTAAGATACTGCCAAAAGACTTCAAAACAAGCTGTAACCCTTTCGTGAAACTGCACTCTTAAACAGAAAAACAAGAAAAAATGAAAACTACTTCCACGTACATAGATATTCGGGAGAACCAGACCTGGAAACAACATGCACGCTTCATCACAAGCAAGTCACTACTGGCTGGCTCATCACAAGGCAACGGATAAGAATAAGGCACACCATTCCAAATGCAGCAAACAATGCTAGTTACGACAAACAATGCTAGTTACGACAAACAATGATACCGGCAACGCAAAAGCAGTCCGTTGTTTAGTTAAAAGTTAAGTAGTCACTGTTGTAAACAGAAGTCAGATTTATAACAAATCTGAAGGAAAACAATTAGAAAGAACCATAAACTGAAATGTTTAAAATTACTCTAGGAATATGAATTAAAAAGAGTAAAGATTCTTTTGCTTTTAAATTTGCTAAGATATGCAAACCAAACTTACAAGCTGAAATTTTAAAGAAAAAAAAAAGGTTCCAAAAAATTTATCTTATACTTTGAAGTTCCTATTTTTCCTTCACCAATGCAATCGAGGGATCAAATCTTTTTAAAATGTCACTATAACTAATATACAAAATTATACCTATATAACTTCAAGTACATCTACAGTGGAAAAAGCTACTACTGCCAAGTGAAAAGACTTCCTTGAATACTTCTGTCCTCTAAAAAGATTCTTCAATAGAAATTTTTGAGGCATTTTGTTTGAAGGATGTGACGCAGTCCCTGAGTTTCGATAAATAATAACTATAAATTGTACGCTAGTAACATAATATTATCAAGGACAAATGACGAGCCAGCCTAAAAAAATTCTACATTTGAAAAAAGTAGAAGAACAAAACTTATTTACTTAATAAGAAGACTGCTCTCATCAGCTTAAATCTACGTCTACCTTACACAAACCACTGACGATTTAAACTGTTGGGCAGTCTACCATCTGTCAAGCAGAGCAACCTTCAAGACAGCAAAGAAAATTAAAAAATAGTGTGCATGATTTTTATGTGCTTCTTACCTTGATCTGATTAGGCTGACGGGTGATTGCATTGGTGTAAGGTAAACATTTTGTATCAGATTTACTCAACAGCTCCAAGTCCTTGTCATCTGGAAAGCAGCAAAATCATTGTTACCTCGCAAACTGCTAAAATTAGATTTTAGCACAAAACGGGGACAGATGGACTACAGAGGGTATCCGGCCACCAAAGCTGGCATAGAATGACAAATTGAGACAAGACGTAGAAGTTATGATAATACACACACACACACACACACACACACACACACACACACACACAAACACACACACACACACACGCACGCACACACACGCACAGGATCAGGGATTGGCCTAAAAAAAATGTCAAAGGGAATAAAAAATACAGGGTGGGATAAAAAGCCACAATGAGCAAGCTCTTGCGCTAACAAATAGTACATAACACTCTTTCTCTCTCTCTCCCTGCCAATGTTTTTCAAAGTATGGACAACAAAATGCAGGATCATGATCCACTCTTCCATTACATTACTTTTTATTCAGCTTATTTCATGCTACATTTCATATCCTTTACTTCATAAGCTTAAAGGCTTTTTATTTCCGTATCTTAATAAATTTAAGTAACTATAATAATATGCCTTCTTTGGATGAAAGAATGCAGCAATCAGTTTTAACAAAAGCTTATGCCTATAATAGTTAATAGCCAAGTTTCTAACTTTTACTCGAGTAAACGACTCTTCAATATTCCGCTTTTCCATTACTTTTATAATAAACCCCTGATGTACAAAATGTAGCTCTTTCTCCTTCCGTAGTGGCTGGAATAGAGCAGTAACTCTCAAGCTTCATTTCTATAAGCAAGCACACAGGCAGAGAGACAGCATTTATAAGTTACAACTGGAGGCACATACAACAATTTTTGATGTTATAAAAGTAAAAGCCAGGACAGTACATAAAACAAACCTGCATAATTACTTCCTTTTACGGGGAAAAATGTTAATGTATCATGAGAGTACCATGACCACACATTCGTTCTTTGTAATTTCTTATCAACAAACGTTGCTATAACGAACTCTTGTATAAATGTTATGGGAAAATACATTTAAAAATCATGTTTAAAATACATGAACTTCAATCAAAATGAATTAAAGAACAATTCAAACTGAACTGTGAACAATGTATGATAATATTAAGGCGCACATAACCTGTGTCAGGAAACGGTTTCGATAAAAGCCCTTTCAATCTTTTCCTTAACACTTAACAGTTTCAGTTCCCTAATTTCTATGCTTATTTCAGCTTTAAAAAACATACATGGCTTCAATATTTGGGCGTTACCTTATTCTTCCTGACAACTAAAACTATATGCACATGTGTAGGCTGTTTGTGTGGGAGTTTGTTTGCGTGTGAGCGTGTAAGTGTATGAGTGTAAGTGTGTGTGTATGTATGTATGTATGTGTGTGTGTGTGTGTGTGTGTGTGTGTGTGTGTGTGTGTGTGTGTGTGTATGTGTGTGTTTGTGTGGATATGTACGTGTGACCGAGTGTTTGAGAGTAAGAAGAGTACAGGAAGAAAAAAAAAAGATGGGAAAAGGGGGGTGGGTGGGGGTGGGGGACCGACAGAGTCGGGATAGGAAATGACTTTTAGAAACATAATATATCTAGTATGAATTTAGCCTCTGTGATCTGTTCAGCATTTTTTCCAAGTATATTGAGTCTCATTTATTGATATGCCCTTATATCACTTGGATCGTCTTTATCTCTGCTCTCCTCCTTCATGATGTTTATTACTCTCTTGTAACACCTCTAACGTTCGGCATTTATATGGCCTTATTGTGTTGCAAGTGCCGTAAAACTCTTACTAAAAAAACTAAACGAATTTGGTGAACTCTTGTTTGCACGTATTGTATTTGTCACTGTATACCATATTTTCCCCACAAGAATTAACAACAAACTTTCTTTTTTAAAAATAATCCGTACTGGTCATGACATTATACACATTTTAAACAATACAGAAGCAACGTTTTACTCTAAAGACGACACATAATATCCGTCTGAAGTAATAAAACTGAGAACTAACCAGGAACCATCGGATGTATTTTTGACTTGCCAGGAGCCCCAAGCCTGTCCTGCCCTTCGTCCTGATGTTCTGTCTCGCTGCCCGAGCTCAACAGCGGCTCCATGATGGTGGCGTCAACTCTGCGAGAAAGCATCGTCAAAATAATATTAATAATAATAACAATTAAAATTTAATAATAGTATTAATTGTATAGCGCATAACCCCGTTCTACAGCAAGCTCTATGCGCTTTACACTATAATAGTATGATCGATTTAAGCACATTGGGGCTACCCCGAAAAATACTGTTTTGAGAAAATCGAAAGTAAACTTTTTGGACTCTTGCTCAGTTCCTTTAAAAGACAGGAAAAGCTTTCTCTATTACCAAACAAAAACGCACCAATGTAACCAAACTTCTCCTATAGGTAAGGCAATGCCCACTTTTGGTATAGGTCAAGATTTCTGGAAACTCACGAAATCTGGGTTAACCCGCTTATCCTTAAAAGTAACCATTTTATATTATTATCCCAGCAGACCATAGAACACTCAGAAACATTCTCAGCTTCCCAGGAAGCATATACAGTGCAAGCAGCTGACGTTTCACTGAAAGCAACCTTTAAGAGCGGGTGGTTGGCAGGTGCTATTGTGTTGTTTTAACGCCTTCTTTCTTATCAAAATCTATTGTCTTGAACTCTCCTCTGTCTTTTTTTGTGTTTGTTACTCTCTTGTAACGCCGCTAATCTTCGGCACTGATAATACCTTATTGTGTTTCAAGTGCCTTAAAACTTACTAAAACTAAAAACTTAAAACCATTGAGACGCAAAGAGGCGGAGATCTTGATTTAACTGGGCGCGTTTTGGCTTAAATTCCTAAATGTAGGCCCCCTAGGTGTTTTTACACATTCCATCGACACGGTTTAGAACATCTTGGAGGCGGGCTTCGACCCTGCCTGTTAGGGCCAGCCCGCGCAGAGAGGGATTCAGCTTCCTAAAAGAAAGATGGAAATTAAATACTTTATAAAAAAAATTTCCCCAGTCGAGAATCGAACTCAGTTCTCCTGTTTGCGATGCCGATGTGCTTTACGGCTACATCACAGGTGCCGATGCACAATCAGGAAATTGAGATACAAAGAGGCCGGGCTTATCCAGAACCTTTTGTGTGAGTATTGGCTTAATTTCAAAATTTAGTTTTTAAGTTTAATAGGAACTTTACGGCATTTGCAACACAAATACGACATATAAGTGCCCAATATTAGAAGTGTTACTTGAGAGTAATATACAAAGAAAAGGAGGAGGAGGAGAGATACGGGCGACAGCTGTTTGATAGGACACTCTGATTCTCTTGGGGTCGGGCTGCTTAAACTCTATCATGACCAGCCTGGGCTGAGAGGTATAGTATTCCAGCTGACAGACAGACGGAGGTAGGCCTACTCTAAAAAAACAACCCCCCCCCCCCCCCACGATAAAAAAACCCTCTTCCCCCCCTCCCAAGAAGAAAAATCAGCAACAGCAACAAAAACAACCACAAAACCCATACAAGTGTGTAAGACATCCACTTGCCTAAGACGGCTACCCTTCTCCTCCACGATTTGTAGGTTATAAGGCTAACCTGTGTATCGGAGGATGAGACAGAACCCCCCCCCCTCCCCCTGGGGCGGTGCCACTGACTGAAGTGTCTTTAGGCCATTCCTGAAGGGGGGACATTTCTCGTTCTAATGCACAGTAGAATTGTGAATGGGCTGATCCAACAATGTCATGCTCATAACTGTGCCTGAACTACAATAGGGAACTGCTGCTTTTTCTTTCCTAATCCTTATTATCGTCATTTTCCTCTACTTCTTTTGTATGTTTGTCACACTCTTGTGACCCACTATTTCCGGGGTGCCTTGATAGTCGAAGCAGACTTCCTGCTGTTGAAGCTAGAGAGGTGAGCAGAGAAAGTCTGATTCCCTGAAAGGACTTCTCTGTTCAGATCCACCCCTTGGCACTCATATGACCTTAAACAGTTGCGAGCGCCGTAAAACCTCTACTAAAACAAACAAAACAGTAAAACCCAACTTCTTCACTCGGAATCGAACCCATGCATCTTGCGTGCAACAGTGATCGAGGAGCCAAGCGTTGACAAATCAGACACTGATATCTTTCTGGGTGAGCCAGAGCTGTTACCACAGTGTTATACTTCTCGGATGAGCGTACCCGTATTCTTTGTTTTTGCATCTTAAGTCTTCTTCCTCGTTCTCGATGACAGCAGGTAGACGGTCAGTTAGATGTCGCGCACAAACTGTGCAGGTCGCTTCGACTCTGAGAGACTGCCATAGAGCTTTCTCTCAAGGGGAGCCACATTCTGCCACGTCTTGTTTTTTTTGCACCAAGTCTTCGGTAACCGAAGAGCCCACTATTGGAGAGGGGGCTCTCGTGGCCTAGAGGCTAAGGTGTTTGCCTCTCATTTCAAAGGTCCCGGGTTCAAATCGGGTAGCGACCGAAAAATTTTCTTCTCTAAAAATGTCTCCTTTCACCTTCTTTCATGCTCTCGAACAATCTGCTGTCGGCTGCTTTCGTCTCCACTTTCTGCCCCCATCCCTCACCTCCTTTGCCCCTTCCTCTGGGCTCCTGACTCTTTCTGTAGCCTTTCTACTGTTACTCCCTGGCTCCTACTTACTGCTGTCTTTCAACCACACCCCTGATCTTCAGATAGGAAAGATCTACACCTAGCGTTCTCGGACAATTGGCTAAAAATCTCGAAGGTCCCGTGTGCAAGTTGCGCACGTTAAATATTCCTTGGGGATCTAAAATCGATGACCTCATGCAGTTGCGTGCGCCGTAAAACACTTACTCCCCCCCCCCAAAAAAAAACACTATTGGAGAAGGTGAGTACATTCATTTCTCATGAAATTTCGGAAAACTTGCTGTGGTAGCAGCGACAGATACATTCCAGTCCAGGTGATAGCGAATGCATTCCTTCTTGGCTCCGTGTTCTTCATTTCAATTCGCTCAAAAGATGCCCCAATCAAAGATAATACCTTCCCTATACCTTTTATATATATTTTTAGACCGACTGCTTGATTCGAAGGAAGGTCAAAAAGAAAAAGAAAA